CCCCGAATTTTCACATCCCCGAATTCCCACATCCCCGAATTCCCACGTCCCCGAATTCCCACATTTCCAAATTCTCACGTCCCCGAATTCCCACATCCCCGAATTCCCATATCCTCGAATTCCCATATCCCCAAATTCCCACATTTCCAAGTTCCCACGTCCGCGAATTCCCACATCCCCAAATCCCCAAATCCCCAAATTCCCACATCCCCAAATTCCCAAATTCCCAAATTCTCAAATCCCCAAATTCCCAAACCCCGCCACATCTCAGTCCCCAAATCCCCAACTACCCACTTCAAATAATCGATCGTGCACTTCGCGTCTGTAGATAAGAACCGATTTTCGTCGGCTGTCGACGATGCGAGGGTTAAACGGTACGAGAACACGAAGGGCAGATGATAAAGTGGAATCCGAGAGGGGTCGTTAGTGAGGGATTTAATCAACGACATCGGGAACGAGAGGAGTCGCGGATATTCATCGTAAAGAATGAAAGTTTGCGAGGCAATTAGAAGCAATTTCCGGTCAGCAGGGGCTCGAATGATTCCCGTCGTGGAAACGTTCTCGATCGTCGGTCGTTTTTCTCTTCGAAGCCCGTTTACGAGGAGCACGGTTCGAATCTCCTCGACAGAGAGACTTGTAATTTTGATGCTGTCCGTTTGGCCCAGGTGATATATGAAAAAAAGTACAGGCCTCGATCGTTAGCCTAATATTAACATCCATAAAGAGCGATCGCGTGTACGTCAAGATGATAGCGAGTTACATCTGGTACGTATCAAATTTTTAATTGCGATACAGGTTGGTTCAAGAGAGATGCTCGACACGGTGTAGAGACATTTAATCGGTCGATTAAAATTCAAATATTGTCGGAAGGAAAATTGAATTACTTACCGGTTGAAACCCATTTACAATTCGTATGAAGCGCACGTACGAATTTCATTTTTCCATGTAAACATACCTTCGGTCAGGCAAACTATTAGCAATTGAATTTGCGAATTAAGTATGTTGTGCATGGAAAAAATATGTGTTTCGTGGCATATACGACACACGTAAGGGTCTAACCGAGGGACTAGAAGAACGATTACGGAGCAAAGAGTCGTGCAAGAATAAATGATTAAATTCATAGCTCGTTATAAGTCGTCTTTGTAAATGTCCGACGATTCTCATCAGTTCATACGGCAAAGAGTAATGTTCGAACAAGATGCACCGTCGTTTCTCTTATACAAGAAACGCATTATCCACGACCAGGTTCTTGTACGAGCTACTCCCGATCGAAGAGAGAAGACCGCGTACGCCCACTCTCGCTTTTAATAAACCCAAACCGGAATCGTAAAGTTGAATCTAAATTGCATAATTATACCGGTCTCTCTCTCCTTCTTCCTCTCCCTTCTTTCGCTCGATTCCTATCTTACTCGAAGGACTCGTGTGTCCTTTTTTCTCTCTCTCCCCGCTTCTTCCTTCCTTCCTTCCTTCCTTTCGTTTCCTTCCTTTGCGGGTTTCTTTCTCCTTCTTACCGATGACCTTCGTTTCGTGGCTTTTCTTCCTTTTTCCAACGAAACATTCGGAAGAGCAAGATTATAAATTGCCGACAGTATCCTCGAGCAGACATATTCGGCCAACGGTGATTTTTGTACTAGATTACATCAAATTTTCGAAGCGTATTTCGACGTGTAGCAAAATTGTTCGGCAACCGTGTATAATGTTGTCGTAACAGTCGATAAATATTTGAAGGATAAAAAAAGACCTTATTAGAGCAGACGAGCAACTCGTTTATACCAGTGTCTCGCATTCCGAGATTCAGGGCAAGATCATAAAGTATTTGGTTCTTACGGTATCCGGATAGTAATTGTTGAAATATTGTGACACTTAATATCAATTTTTAATTATTTTACTCAGTGAACGCAGTAATAACGCTCGTTAAGGATGTAAACTATAAATTTTCACCTGGGCAATCTACGTGTACATGAATTTGTAAGTTTCAGGTCTAATTGTAAGATACCGCATCGATGGGACGTTTTATGATCTCGTTTGATATTATAATCAGCAAGGTTAATCATGCAAATAAAGTGCACGAATATAGAATATCTGGTTTAATGGAATAAGAGTCTTCTCGTCGTAAAAACGAGAACGAATGTTCTATGTTTCGACTCTAAATATCTGTATCTGATTATCACTCGAATTCGTATGAATTTCCATCTTTATACAAAGTGTTACTTCGGTTAACAAGCTTGGTCCATTCAAATGTGATTGGAAATTCGTTTGCACATTTTGCACCGGAAGTCATTCTCGACGTTGACGTAGTGGCTCAATCACCGTAGGACGCGTGTTCGATAATCGAGAATGCTACCTTCGGCGCGACCGAGTGCAGAAGGGATCAGGGAAGAAATGCGTTGGATTCCTGAACAGGGAAGCTCCGTAAGAATTTTCGATATGATTAACGGTACAATGGAACCGAGTGCGCAAACTACCGGATTCTTCCGAATCATACCGATCGTATCGTCGAGATCGTCCGTGGCGATCGAGGACAAAGAATCTCGATTCATCGATTACTCGCGAACAAAGAGTCCCTCCGTGACATTCCCTCCGATTTCATCCCTTCGACACTTCACGATGATTTAAGTCGACTCTAGCAGCCAGGAAAAATCCTAATTCCGTGATTTATCACCCTCGAGTTGATATCGTTCCATCTTGTCAGGAACTCGAGATACTTCGACTCATGATCGAAGTGCTCGATCCATCACCTAAGACTAAAGCGATCCGTTGCAACATTGAATGCACCGAACAAAACAGTCAGATAGCAAAAGGTTAATATTCGAAAATGGCTAGGACGGTTACAATGTTAGCGCAATCTTCCTAGCTGTGTCGATCGATTTAATAGTTTGAAGCTGCATTCAATCTTCCAGCCAGCAAACGAAATTGTAATGGTGTTGTTGCACGAGTTAGCCGATGGTTAGCCGGTATGCTTAACCCGCGACCTCGCCGGTAACCTTACGCCAGCCGACGTGGCAATTATCGCTGGCACACTAACGGACAATGCAATTTAATCTCGTTTTACGACGATACGAGACGTGCAGTTTACACCGACATCGGATGCCGGTCTTTCTAATCGCTGTTCTCGGTACTATCTCGACGAGTAACTGTTTCGGATCGGCCATATTTTCTGCTGATCAAACGAACATTTACTAACTCTTAAAACTAGGAATAAGGATGTAGAGATAAGGATGTACTCTTACAGAAATTTATCTCTAGAAGAGTACAAGGACATAGATACAGAGGTACGGTAGTCTGGGTGTACAAGGACCTAGGTTTTAGAATACGGACATGTGGGAGTTTCGGGATTTAAATTTATACAAGTCCGAATTTTCATTTAAAAGTTTTCACCTATTGTTTTGCATATTATCAGTATACGTTCATTTAGGATTTGATTGATCTGATTGCAGTTGGCTGGAGTCTCTCCAGGACCCGTGTCATCCGTGGTCGCACCCGTACTGCTGAAGTACCGTGTTTGTAGGCCTAGGTTGTTACTAGCTGGTTCCAGAGCCGAGGTCGATCCTGCAGCCGACGTAGGATTATTACACGGCGAGGTTTTACTGATCGAGGACTCCGGCAGACAGTATGATCCGATAGGAGGTGAGTTGCCCGACTACTTCGTTGATACCCTCGTTCGGACATGTTTATGTTAATACTCGGTGTTTCGCCACGATGTTCTTTGACTCGGCCTAATTGAGCATGTCACTTGTACTTTACGATAAGAAACAGCAATCGATGTCAAAGCCTTTTCATTTTTTTCGTCGTAACCGATAAGTAGATTATTTATGCAAACACGTTACATTATTGTACGCGTTGTCTCGTAAGAGGATGCAGTTCATTCCGCAAGTCTTAACCCTAGCTATTGGAGCGCGGTTGACCCCTTGCATACGAGAACATCACGCATAGAACCCCAATTACGTAAGAGTTTCGAGTAAAACAAGACGTAAAATACAAATGAAAGCACGACGATAACAAAATAGTAGACTATTATGCACAACACGAACGTGACTCGTGTTTCTTGCATTTGACCTGCACGGTGTTAGCCGATGTTACGAGCCAACGGGTTAAGTCAAAGATTGTTCGCGAAGAAATAACATAACGTTTCCTTTCACTGGGCTGCTAGATACGGATCGCAGATACAGAGCAACGGAGAAGCTTCTGCACGCCGAAGAAGAGTATCACGAAGCTCTGTGCAGTGCCAAAGAGTTGTACGCTCGACCGTTAGCTCGAAACTATCCGGAATTTCACGACGACATTTTTCAGCCGTTAGCTGATCTCTCCGCCGTTACCGCCGAACATTGCCAAAGGGTAAGTAAATCTCGACGCGTTAAAAAGTGCTCAATTTTTCACGGAGAAAGTTCTTTGCCGCTTTACAATTTCACCCGGCTCCGATGTTGAAACTTCGCCTTATTTTCGTCTCGTGATTATTATAAATCGACGACTCGAATTTTGCACTCGACCTGCTTCGTATTTCGCGAGTTCAAATTCCTTGGTCTTCAGCCCGTAGAATTGATCGGTATGCGCCAATAGTAGGGCTCTTCTTATCGACTTGTCGGTGAGCGATTGCCGACTAGGCTTTCAATGGAGAGATGGCGGCACTCGAACCATGCCACGAGCCATTCACTATTCAAGTTCGTGAGCGGCACCTGTTACTTCGAGCACGTTGCCTTTCTCTGTTCTCTCGTGTCGCAATTACGCCAGTTCGTATAACCTTTTCAAAAGGGAACAGATGATCGAAGCTTATCGAGATAATACCATCCCATGTTCTTCTTCAGCGTGGCTCTATAAAATGTAGTAACGCAGAGCGTGGCAATATTATGACAACGCTGAGCGGGGTAATTCTACGATGATTTCTCAGCAACAAAAAACATAAATTAAAAAATTAATTTTGTTTTCCGAAATTGACCCATAAATTCATATAGTCGTAATTTGAGGAGATTAAAATTTACTATCAAACTCCGGCTTCTGAAATAATTGACGTTATTAGGTTGTCATAAATTTGAATGATATCTCATTAACCAGGCTAGGAAAATAATTTAGAGAAAACCGAACGTGTCCAGCAACTTAAACGTCGTACTCTGACACTGAACGTCCACAATCTTCAAGAACGATCACAGCCCATAACGAAGTTGTGTTTTCACTAAAAACACCGTTGAAAATGCATCGTGTTTCGTGGAGTTTTCTCTCTGCTGATAAGGCGATCTTGGCAAGCATGCAGCAGCAGCTACTCGGCATGCATCACCGGACGCGTGTTTTCTTAGGGCTGACAATAAAGAGGAGGATGACTGTCCTTCGGATGTAAACACAAAGCCACGCCGGCGGAGCTGGTTAACGAGTCGGGATGAGCGATGACGGTGGTTAGCACCCTCATAAATATTGACTTTTACAAGACGACTGGACTGAACGATTGCTGAACGTTTTCGCTGCCTCGTCAACGGCCTCGTAAAGTGAAAAGGGCTTGCTTTTGCCAAGATTGCGCGCGAGAAACCCGATTGAGGATCGCCTTCTTCGAACCCCTGTGTCGTTCGACAGTTTCATTTCATTAAGAATATTGGAGTCACTACTTTAGATTTAGGTTTCGGATTTAGGTTTAGGGATCTAGAGGAATAGGTGATCTAGGGGTAAAGACATGAGGGGTGCAGAAGTCTGTGGATTTGAGGACATAGGAAGTTTGAGTGTAGTGTAGGATATTTCATTTTTCTATTCTTCCCACGAAGCCTCCAAGTTGTCTACTTGCAGCTGATAACTAGTGCACAGCACATCTTTTATTTGAACTTTTATTCCTACAATAGATACAAAAGACGTATCTCTTACATAAGCTAATTAATATATGGACCATTTGGAAAAATTTGCCAGTGCAGAGTATTTTTATTACCGACCAAGCGAAAGAGTTGTTACGCGAGCAAAACAAGTTACAGAGGCGTAGGTACGCGCGAAGGTGCATGCCGGTTGCAAAACCTCGCGGCGAAGCGGCAAACCTCACGGTTAATTAGTGATTACGCTTCGAATCGCCGACAGTTTCTGAAGCGGATCACGACCCAGGAGTCTCTGTACTGTTCCCGGTAGCTTTTTTATTCGGGCTCGTTGTTGGCCGAGTGTTCGCGCGGTCTCCTCTGTCGCGGTGCAATTTCACTTTGGAAGCACCTCGGGACCAACGCGGGGGCAATTAGAAGCAATCGCGCACCTGGAAAGCGGGGTATACTCGTTCTGTCTCTTTCGCTCCACCTTCACCGACGCTCTTCCTGAGTTTTTCTGTCCGAGAGGACACGGAACGACTCGCGGAGGATTCTGTTTACTCTTCGGTACCGCGGATCACGTGGATTCTTCGAGCAGTTGGACTAGTAACATTTTCGAACTCGAGACAAATTTTCAATATATGATACAAGATTGTGATATTTCTAAATTTCTTATAAAGTTAGTAAGAGGAGTTGCATAAAGCTGTAGTTGCCTCAACGCGATTACGGAATGAAAGTGCAGGAGCGAGTAAAAGGTGCATATTGCTGTTCTGTGGTCATAGTAGCAAATAAAGTATGATGTACTTAGACTTCAAGTTCTATCGTGAACGTGTTGAACGTTGATCGAGCGTAGAATTTCGAGGTGAAGGACGCGGAGGCACTTTTTGGTCGAGCTCGTTCCAGTCTCTGTTGTTCTCTCTCGTTACACGTTACGACCGTAAATTACGTTTTTGCGGAACGCTACGCACCACGGTAACCACGGTCATGGCGACGGTTGAAGAGTAGTTGCATCCCGATGCGCACGTGCACCTGCACCGCACGCCATTCGATGGGAATGCGACAACTCTTGGACCAACGCCCTCTTCCACCTTTCGTATCCGGCGTTATCGCCGAGTGGACCAACAGCGAACACGTAGCGGATTCTGGAATCTCTCGGTTAAAATCAAACGAACGATTAGTCCATCTTCGATCCACTCCATTAGCGTTCGGTCCGCTGCAAGTGTCCCATAATACGTTCCCTGCCCGCTTCGCCAACGATCGCTCGTGTCCTCTCGCTGTCCGGCTTCTCTCGAAGAAGTCGCCAGGCGAATATTGTCCGTAATCCAGCCTGATGGTTATGAATGTTAATCGCGTTTGCGATTCCATAATCAGGACGCGAGAGGAAAAACGCGTAATCGGCGTCGGACGGAGAAAGGGAGAGAAAAAGGCTAGGAAAGAATGATCCTCCAGCGCAGAAAATTCAGAAGATGGCGCGTTAAGATACCTCTCGCATTCCGGGGTAGGGAAAAGAAGTCCGGAGAATGCTGGAAAATTAATTAAGTGGCGTGCAATCATCCGGCAGCGGGTACATTATCGCGCGGAGATCAAAGAGTTCTCGAGTACCGACGCGTTAGTTCCTCTTGCCACCTTCGTCAGCGACGAATGGAGCGGTCAGTAATGGCGGACGAGCTGGAGGATACGTAATTTTATTCGCATTAGGGCGTCGTTCGTCTCTTGGCGAAAGAAAGAAACAGGTAGAGACGTAGAAAGTAGAGCAGGGAGGAGGGGATCGTGGGTCAACGAGGCAAAGAAAAAAGAAGGAAAAGAAAAGAAAAGGAAAGGGACCGAGATGGGACGACGAACGCGGAGCAGGAAAGTGGATGATCGTCGCGGCATTTTGTCGGGAAAGTGGACTCGGGATACCGGATCGCCGGGAATGGTTTCGATTTCATCGGCGAGTGTCTCATTTTTCTTGGACGGGGGTGGGGCGGACGCGTTCCAGTTTAATTTTTGCCCGACACGGGAAAGTCCTTTACCTCGATATCGGCTTGCAAGAATTTTCTAGTTCCCTCACCTGTCGTGTCGCGGATGGAACGGTTCGCGAGGTCGGATATCGTGGCGAGGAAGAAAATACTGGCTACATATTCTACGATTTTAATACCTGATCGTTATCAAAAGCCGCAATAATTTTTTCGGTCATTTCGATACTAGCCGCTCAATTTTATTCCGCCGATAACAGATTACTCTGAGAGGCGTGCAATAAATGGCGATAAATAGAATAAGACGCACGGGATGCGTCATCGTCCCAGAATCCCGTTAACCTAATCGTCTTTTGTTAGTCGAGTTCGCGAACTCGAGTTTCCTCTCGGATTCATAACCGTACATCACTGTCAGTACTTCATCAGTGAAGTAACCAGAGAGGACGAAGAGGATTTCTCTCGTTACGAAAGGAAAGAAACACTCGGTTGTAACTTTGGAGAGTTTGTTCGAACAAAATTGCAAGCCCGATCTTCGTATATATCACGTCGAGTGTACGCACCGAGAAAAGTTCAGTCCCCTCGACAACGGGTTGCTTCGTCTTCTTGAAAAAAGAGCGTGGTCGGATTATGTGTAACCCGCGTCTGTCCCGTGACGTGGCGAGCTTTTAACGCGAGGATAAAGAGAAGGCGGAGGGGCACGGTTTCGAGAAAGAGAATCGAAGAAAGGGCGAAATAAGACTACCTCGAGGTTGGAGGGTTTAATCACCTCCTGGCGTGTCCCCGCCTTTCAACGAGCACGTTTATTTTCGAGAGACGAGCGTTCGTGTGTTCGTCGTCCACGATAACGGGCAGAGCTGACAAATACGCGGATTCGGCCGTTGGATCGTTTCGGGTGCGTCGCTAATGGGACCAGTTGGCTCTATCGATTTCTAATTTCTTCTCGCCTCGTTCTCCTTTGTCTCGGCGGGCGCGCACGGTGTCGAGCTTAATCGCGCGGAGACTCACCGCGAATTAGTCGCTGTCAGGGCGTTCCAATCTCGTTCGTTCGCTCGTGTATCGAGCACGCCGGAACGATCTCTCTTGGTCCGCGCCTCCGGGACCACCGGAGGATTACAATTCCCCTGGGACACAGCCTGGCCGGATGTTCGTGGCGCTGTATAATAGCCGTTCGTAGGTCTCGGGTAATTCATAAGACGACCGCTCGTAACTAATCATCCGGGCGTATGCGTGCGCGACGACGGCGACTGAACACGTGTACGAGGCGCGTTTCGTGTCTTGCAAAGAATACATTTTTTGGAAAATGCGATTTCATCGTTTGTCTATCGATCAGCTCGTGGGAAGTATCGATGATCGGTACCGCGAATTTAATAGAATCGAGATTGAACCGTTGAATCGGAAAATAGATCCATCACGTTTTGAATCTCATTTTCCAACGTCGGCTATCGGTAATTGCCGATAGAGAGCTTGACTATTTCCGCGGTATTTCATTATTTTTATTATCTAGGATTTGAAGCAATTAAAACGAGCGTTGCTCATTAAAGCGAGTAAGAAGATCTCCATAAGATTACCGAGAATCGTCTTCGTAAGTATCGGTTGCTAATCCAGATCGAACGAGTTAGGCGGAAACAAGAATCCGCGTTTATCAAAGAATATAGGAAAAAACGTATAAGAAGCGCGGTACAGCTAAAATATACACAGTTTATCGCGCGAAGAAACGATAAAGACAGGTGGCAATCAAGGGCAGGGTAAAAACGTCGGTGGTAGTCTAATTACAAATCCGCGGTCCTTTCATCGTTCGATATTAGTAGCTGTCGGAAAGTAAAGGACAAAAAGAAGTTGTTTATCGCCTTAATATCGCGTAACATGTAATTATCTGTGGGAGCCACGGTGAAAATGAGATGCCTATACCTATAGCGTCGTTTGCATAAATGAAACAGGAAAATGTATCGATATCGTTCAATGAACATGGAACGTACGATCATTTTCGTGACGCTTACGCAGGTGTATCGATGAATCTCGTTTATCGACGAACAATTTTGAACGATGTGAAATGGAAAAAGAAAAGCTCGTTACAGGGACTGGGTCGACGCGGCTATAAAATAATAACGGGAGGATCGAAGCAACGCCCACGCATAGAGCCTAATAACGCTCCGGTTCGACCTGTTTCTTTTTTTCGCCGTACACGCCCTTCGAGTACTCGTCCTGTTGGTCGTCTCGAACATCCAGCCAGAAGAGGGACGATCGTGAATCGTGCGACGTGTAATTAAAACCGCCTCCAAGAGATGCGTCTCCGACGTTCAAAAGAGAGAAGAGAAACGCCAGGAAAAATTAACGCGGAGGGAGCAATTTTTTCGCAATATCCACCAAGATAATCGTGCTCGATCGAACGCGATGATCTATCGCTATTCGATGGACCTAGACAGCCACCGGCTTTCTATTTATTAGCCTATGCATTCATAATCTCGCCTCGCTATTTTCATCCTGGAGAAACGAAAAATCCCATCTTGGCAAAACTCGATTATTTTTACAAATTCTTAACTATGTTAAATGTGCTCATTTGATAGAGTAACGCATCTTTACGCGTTCTGAATTATTTATTAGATGGGACAGATTTTTAATTAGTTATGAATCTACCTACTTATAGCTATTTACATATTTCTAACTGTATTTTTTCGAAGTAGCAAACTTCTCAGAAATATGAGAAATTTTTAGAAGTTCATTCATCCGCCTCTGTATACTCCGGAACGAGTAATTATCTTGAATAATGTTTGCTCGAAATATAGTGAGCTCCGGCTGTCCGATCTTGACGCAGGAAAAAGTTTAACGAGTCTGTGTATCTCCTTTGTGGTTCCTTTTTTTGGTCGTCTAGGCTCGCTTCTCATGAATATGAATAATTCATAATTAATCGAGGATTGGGTGGCTCTCGGGAATAGCGTTCGGGAACGAATGGGTTACGGTGTATGTTCGTTCGTCGGCCCGTATAATTCGATGCATAAATGCATGGACGCGCTCGCGTGTGCGCTTAACATAGATACGTATCTGACAATAAGACACGCATCGACACGCCGACGCACCGTGACACGACAACAGCCTCGTGACAATGCGATGCACGCATCGTCGGCTCCTACACGCATCCCTCCTTTTTTATCCTCCTTTTTTCAATTTCCTCGCGACGACCATCGTCCACCGTCCTCGAGACACCTAACGAACGATTGCTCGAGAATTCCGGCTTAGAACGATCGATACCTGCCGATTTTAAATCCCCTTCGCGCTCTTTTATTTATACCCTGTATCGCCCTCGAGGATTTATGGGATTTGTCTATTAAGATCGTTCGATGCGAGTTTGAACACTTTATCGAGATCGGTTCGATTAGTCTGTCATGGGAGATCGTGTGTATGATGTTTTTATTAATTTTAGACGATGGTAGTTTCTTATTACTAATCTGCCTACAGGGTGTCCAGCTAGGGTGAAAGGCTGAATAATTTTTTTCTGTGTTAATAATTTAAAGCCTCCACATTTTTGCAAAGAAAAATAAATCTTACGGAACTCCCTATTTTAGTGCATCTACTTGTATCTTTGTATAGTAGTAATTGTTCATCAAATCAAATAATTTGATTACACGAGCAAATATGTTGGAGACATTCGTGCATGAATACTACCGTAAGCAAGCACATCCACCAGGATGTCACGAATTACCGCGACCAAACGTCATCGTTAATTGGTAACATCTGTTGCTGAACGATGGTTATCCCGGTTCGCGTAAGAATTGTTAACCACCTTGTTTTACAGACAATATTTTCAACGCTTCTTCGACGCATTTGGAAAATTAAACGAGGATATAATTTTTTGAAACAGCGTCGTACGATACAAACGAGCTTCGTCGCTCCATTCGAGATTCCTTATCGCGTAGTTTATGATTCAGCAGGTCATAATTCTAGACCGCCTTTTTAAGGTTTGGATAAGAGAGAGAGGTTGATGACCCGTCTTCCGAGCTAGCATCTCGACGAGTTCTATCCCATTCATTTCCCTCCAGCACGTGCCAGAGGATGGGTCAAACTAGCCATCTTCTCGTCGAGTCTGTACCTAAAATTGCTAATAGACTCGGTCGAAGCAATTAAAACGTGGCAATTAAGAAAGGGACAGACATCAGGCGGGCTTTGTCGTAATTACACGGTGTTCGTGATGGATACTTTTCGTCGCGAGATTTAATGCGGAAAGGTATTTGGTTCGAAAGTCATTAGCAGTGTAAACAAGTTTCTAAATTTCCGCATGAAATTCCTGAATGACATTGTAGTATGCTTTATGAAATGTTAAAAATGAAATTCTGCGCTTTAAATCGTTGAAAATTCGACAAGAGACGTTCGAGAAAGAAATGCAAATTTATACCCCGTGGCTACCGTGTGACTTGTACTTTATTTACGCAACTTTCTCTCGATTTTACGACCGTGTTGAAATTAAACATTAAAGCGACGATTAACGTGAGCCCGATACGCCGTTGCTTACAAGCGTTCTCGCCACTTACGCGGTGTAGCGTTATTGCTTTACTAAGCGTAATGGAAAGATATCTGATAAGTGAATTCCATCGTGACAATGTTACTCGTTTAAGGAGTTAAATGGGAGTCGTTCGAGGCTTTACGATTTACCTCGGTATCTGTAAAGTCGATCGGCTCGGAGTATGATGTTACCTTCTTTGTAAAGCTGTTCACAATCGGATCGTTTGTCCGACGAACGGAGCGACGATTCTTCGAGAGATTAAATTAACGTCGAATAACGTTACTGCAAACTAATAGCGAATTCGAATTTGAAAATTGATCGATCGTGTTCTAAATAATTAGCGCTTTAACTTAATACCTACGATTACTCATGCTACGTGCCCAACGAGACACGGTTGTTTCTACTGTCGATCAACGCGTTAGGGAACATTAAACAGAGTCGCGAATAATTGACGGTGAAAATATTACTGGGACGATTAATTGAATGGCGATTCAACGAAATAAATTGTTCGTCGCGATCAATAAGCTATATTATTCTTCCGTTTTATTCGTTATTTATTATTCGAATAAGATTCCCCTCGTCTTATGACTGACGCTTTAATGCTCGCTGATAGAAAGAGCCTTAAGGACTACCGAGCTTATTCACGTCGGATATGCTCCCCTCGATGATGTCCTGATTGGACGTAATGCTGCGTCATAATTCAACAGACAAAATGTATGCTCGTTTCGAGGACGTGATTTAGCCTCGTGCCATTTGAGCCGGCCGGATCGTCGAACCCCACGTTAGAACCCGAGGTTGTAAAGTTGAAAAATTGTTTTCACGGTTCTAAACGTACGCTTCTGTCAGCTCGAGCAGTCACGATTTTACGTTTTAACCGTCGTCTTTTTTCCCCCGTGGAAACGTTATTAGGCTTTTTTAACAGCAGCGTGTTCTTCGCTAGATAACTACGGCTAAGGGTATTTTCTCGCGTCTCGTAATCTTTACACATTATGTAACACATGCAAGAGTTCTTTACCAATTTTCACGTTTCTAAGTTCCTACATCTCTATATTCCTATACGGTTTTGATCGGTGCATTAAAATTTGAATATTTTATTGAACCAATCCCATTTACCTTTTATTCGATGGCCCATAAATTTATTTTACCCGCAGTTGTCTTTGGGATTAATATAGTTGGAAGAGGGTTAGATTATTCAAATTATATCGAGACCAGAATCTTTCCTCCCTGTAATTTATTACGATTGGATAATACCCGGTTTTTTCTCGTCCTCGATTGCTTTATCGTCGATTTTTCTTCCTCGGACTAATTGTTCCCAAAGGTATTGACCGAAAAAAGAAGCACGAATAACAGAGTAATCAACCGTTTATTTCCGACCGATTCCTGCCTCGAAACTGCCGTATACCGAGTTCGATTTATTCGAGTATTATGCTCCATGCATTATACATACCTCCCTCTACCCTATCTTGATCATTGTATTTTAAGAACCAATTCTACCTTCCTTTTCTTTTCTTTCAGATCCGCACCGCGTTAGAGAATTGGGACGGCAGTACATTCAAGTCGAGTGAGTACACTAATCGTCTTATGGAAATCTACCGATCTCGGAAAAACTCGATCCTTGTCGACATCTCAGAAAATATCGAATATGAACAAGTCTAATAGCTTTCCGATGAGTATCTTCGAACGCGACGTAATTCGACATTCCTCGGGATGATTATTTTAGAAATAGTCTTTACTTCAACCTGTATGCTGATCGTAAGAATCCTGAAGTATCGATATCCGTTGATCGTCCGAGATCATTGCAAATCCGATTTAAGAATATGGCATAAAATTTAATAAGTACAAATATCAGTATTTACGCAAGATGGTTACGAAGATATCGACTAAACGCGCGAGTGTCTTCCAGTAAATGCATTCACGCTGACTTCTACCGGTATCATTGCTCCTAAACACATTTATTTATCAAATCAGTACGCGTATTAACTTTGACATGCGCACAACTACCTCGAGCATGTTTGTTAGAAGTATTTCTGTCATCGTTCAAGGTACTCATCGCCTCGGGCTCGCAGTCCTGATTTAAATTTCATTTAAATAAATTCGCGCTGTACCTCACGAGGAAGTCTACGACGTGTCTGATGATAATGGAGTCCAGAGAAAAACGAACTATTCGATGGTAAATCATATTCTCTCGGTGCGTGAGTGTCCGTGGAAGCATCTCTTCCGTGATGCTTAAGACCCCACCGGACGAGCACCAGTTGAAAAGAGAGAGAAATCCTCGAACGGAAACGGGTTGTATAGAGAAGATAGCGAAAGGATGTTCACTCGAGCCTTTCAAATTTTTGATCGTATAGTAAGGTTTATAAAATGGAACGATCGTTATCGGAAAGGAAATTGATCAAATTTATCCTGTGGCTCGATGCCTTTTCTAATAGCCTTCCCGAACGCTGTCACCAGGTGACTTATTTCCTGGGTCGTTTTGGAACTCTTACTGGGAATACCTGGAGAGCTATGGCGAAGCCCGGAGAATTCTGGACGAGCTTAGGGCAACGGAGGACCCCCTACTGCACTTCCTTAGTCTTAGGCAAGCGGCGGCAAGGCACTCCCCATCTTCTTTGCTTCTTCTACCGGTGAGTTATTGATAGCTGCATGAATTAAACACATCGTATTAGCATTGTAATCGATAACATTACTCGGCCGATTAAGCCTAAGCGGCAGATAGGGAAAAAGGTTTAGAAGTGAGAAGATACACTATCGGTCAAAAACATTCTGTCGTCAAAGCACCTAACAGTAGATCCATTTTCGACTTTAACCCTTTGAATATGAATTATTTCAAGATTTTTATACCCATGACGAACTTAATTTGTGACTATATCAATTAATATATAAAAGTAATACATGCATCTTAAATTCATCGTAACTTCGCCCAAGTAGATAACGAGTCTCACTCGTCAAATGCACCCAAAGGGTTAATAGAAGAGCTTCTATGAATATGAACTACGATTTATGTTATCGTGCTTTATGTTTTCGAGTCCGGTTGAAAAACATAAAGTACAGCCGGTGAAATACTTTTGGACCGTACTGTAGGTCCTTCGAAATATGAAGTGAAGCCGATGTGAAAATTAATGCGATCCAGACGCGGATAAAATATGCGGTAGTTAGCTGGCTCGGATAACTACATGATTTTCACTTTTAATACCAATCATAGCCCGACCAAAGGCATCGTTTATATGCCGTGAGACGGGTCTCAAGTATTCTCCCGTCGCATAATTATTCGCCGCGTCGTTACTTCTAATTACGCTCGTTTCGAAATGGGACGTGCGCCGTCTTTTCGACGGATCCCTTTGACGAATCGCGAGGGAACGCGTCTACGTGTGGCCACGAAATAGAACGCCGTAATTGACCTTAACGATGCTCGGGCCACAACGTGGTCGAGACTTTTTGCCTCGTGAGACGAGCACGATCCTCGTGGTTTAGTGAAAGTTCTATCTCACTGACGCAACGCTCTACGGGAACATCATCTTCGGTTAACCTTTCGAGCCACGAACAAAAGCTATCGATTGCTCGATCATCTGTCCATCGATCAGCCACGTCCATGTACAGTGGCAGGCTACTAGAGATTAGCGAAATTGCCAGTCAAAATAGATATGGTCGCTGTTGAACCTCGGACGACGAAGTCAGGTCGGTCTTGCGGCGAGCAGGTTGCACCTCCGTTTTTGCCACTTTCTTAATTATGACGTGTAACGTATGCGTGATGGATGTTTGACGCAAATCCGATAACATATGCGTGATTGATTGCAATTTTCGATCGATTACGAGCAATTTTCAAACTAATGGTGAGAACGTTTCGACAGACAATGACGACGAGAATAATTTCATTCTTTCGTATCTAAATGAAAGTAATATTTTTCCGATACGCTCGTAATTGATACAATCGAAGCGGAGTTGCGCCTATTTAGCTGGTCAATTACGATCCAAGGTTGAACCTGGCAGAGAAAGGCGCGATAGAATACTTTCGATAGGAATATCTCAATTGCAAATATTCCAGGGGAATCTCGTGATGGGCAGTATTCGAATTTTCCCGGTTTACGACGAGCGTAATTGAAACTGGTATTTGGCACGCGACGTCACGTTTAATCGTGTTATTCGCTATGAAATTTCACCTGTCCATCGAAGCACCTGTAGCCACCGTGGCTAGTACCCTGCCTACGCTAAATGTCCGGTAGATTATGCGATGCCTTGTCACACGTGGGTGTCCCTGGCACTCAGGTACTTGTTCGTATCAGCTCCCCGTGCCGTGTGACGTTTGTTGTCGGCTTGCCGTTTCACGCGGTGCATCGTGCAAATACTTGTGCACTTTTAACGCGTTCGCTACCATGGCAGCTAAGCTTAATTATAGCAACGGAGGTAAGCACATAGAGTGTAAAATTATAATACCGGTTAATAACTCGTGTCAAACATCTGCCAAGAATTATTCTCTGCCAATCGTCGAAAGAATCTCACTTTTATACCGCGTTTCTAAAAATCTCCAAGACGAATACATCTTCGGAGAAAGCTGTTCTCGGTATCCTCCGGTTGGTACGCACCTGCGTGCAGATATATGCGGTGGAGCAACCACTCATTGTTTCTCTTTTCTGCCGTGGCGTGTTGCAGAACGACGAGTGATTTACGAGGTGCACTCGTCGTGCCGCGGTAATACGTGCTTCGCCCGAAGGGGCTGGAAGATAATTTCGTGAAAGGAGAAGCCTTAAGGACGCGTACAAATGCTTTAAACTCTAATTGATTCGGTTACATCGTGCCCCCTCGTAGGCTTCTAAGACGCTTTTCCATTCGTTTCCGGGTCGCTTGCTCTCCCGTAATATTCTACAGGCTGTTCCTAAACTGATAAACCGATGCGTGCAAATCTCGCGTACCGAGATCCGACACGTGCTAATCTAACTTACGCGGAGATTTAATGCGCGTGAACATTTGAAGCGTGCAGATCTCGCGAATGATGATCTAACTCGTGCTGATCTAACAAGTGTGAAAACCTAACGCGTGGAGATCTCACACGTGCGCAGATGTAACGCGTACAAATCTCACGAGCGGTGATGCGACGCGTGGCTATTTAACACGCGCGGAAATCTGACGGGTGGTGATCTACCTCGTGGTGATACAGCGCGTGGAGATTTGACGCCGTAGTTTAACAAACGCGGAGATCTCCACGCGTTAGGTTTTTACACTTGTTAGATTAGCACGAGTCAGATCATCATTCGCGAGATCTGCACGTTTCAAATGTTCTAACACGTGAAAATCTAAAGCGCAAAGATTTGATGCTCTCACGTGATTTAACGCACGATCTAAGTGCAAAGATCTAACAAATCTAAGGCGCGGAGATCTAACACGTACGATGCTAAGGAATCTCACGGGTGGTGATCTAACTAGTAATCCAATGCGTGTAATTCTAACGCGTGGAAATTTCAGGCGTGGCAATCTACGACACGGCTATTCTGAAGGTAACTTCCGAGTAATATAGAAAGCAATGCATCTTTTCTCCCCTAGATCGCCACCTTCAGTAAGGAAGCCTACCACGCTAGTCAGCGTGCAAGCACTGAAACGCGATACTAACGTGTAGGTAATTAAAAGCGTAAAAAGCTAACGGTTCCGTTGACTCGCAGAACGTGGCTGATGCATACGCAACAGCCAGGGGCTGTGGTGTGTACGCGATGATGCTTCGCGGATGATAAACGATCTCGCGTTCTCATCGATGGTCGTCCTGTAAAATTCTGACGGGAGTCGATAGTACGAACGTTCGTTGTGGCTTGAGCCGTGGAACGCTACCATGAAACCATTCAAGTAGAAGAAGAAGATAGAAACAAGCTTCGGTTGCGTGTTCTGTTGCGTTACAAGAACGAAGCTTCGCTTTTTAAGCGAGGAGATTCCGAGGAATGTTAAAGGATTAGTTGCCGAAGAATTCGATAATAAGAATTCCTTGTTGCAATTTCGATTTTTCGATATTGCTGTATTATCTCCGCCGCGACTTAGTTCTTGCCTAGCCGACGCAAGATCGCTACAGCTTCATAAGTGCCATTAAATTTCAGAAATATTGCAAATAATACAGTAGACATTAATGCTTTTATTATTCAGGGTTTGTTCGCCGTGCGTGTTCGTATTTATGCATTAAAATTAGTGGCCATGCAATTAGCTGTTCCCACGAAAGTTTAATTAGAGCTTACTGGTAGTCCAGTTTCCTGTACTAAATGTCCTGTACCTTGGGAGCAAAAATAGCAGACTGCGGAACGGTGAAAAACTTTGATGCAAATTTCGCTTTATATACACGAATGTCGCTTCTTTAAGACACGCTGTATAATTTTGCCACATCAAGAATGCTAATATGATCGATCACGAAATAAGACGCGAATAATCGATAATGCAAGAAAATTATACAATGTTGCTTTCGCGGAGTGATAAGAGTGTAATATCCGCAGCTTGATCGGTTTTAACTTTTGTTTTCTCTCTCCGGTCTGAGAGAAAGACGATTTGATGGGCGATAAACGCGATAATATAAGGGACAAGTCGCGCGACCGTTCCGAGACGTACATCCGCGACAGCGGGCAAAAGGAGAAAAGCGTAGGCAAATAATTTACTTTGCTATAAATTGTGTCACTCACGGCAGACCCATGCTGCGAGAGCAAAACAGTTTTCGTACGGAGATCGTCTGAAAATTAATTAAGCGACGCGTTTAATCCCTCCTGCATATTTCGTATTTTTCTGTCGAAATAACATTTTAGATCGTGTACTGTCCTTGAACAGAATGAAAAGGATTCGGTATCGGTCTATACCGACACAGTTCACGATCGCGTTATATATTCGACAAAAAGTTTCCCACGCAGAACGATACGGGTCCTGTATGTCCCGTAGCTCCCGGTGGACGCGTTAAAAACGTGGCACGCGGAAGAAGAATTCTCGGTTAGCAAAGAATTTCTGTCGAAAAACGTTCGATCCTGCCCCTCGAACTCTTGTTCCATGCAAACGCGTGGTCGTATTTGTCGCCAGATTGAGTCTGCATTCCAGCGGGTCTGTCGTGGCCGTGTTCCAACGATTTTGTCCGAGGACAATTAAAAACACGATCGGTAACCTGTTTCCTGAAAGCGTCGAAGCACGTCCGCGACTTCCTCCTCGTCATCCACGTCCAAGCGGGGATGCTTAGATTTCCTCGAGCAAAGACGAAGAATAGGGACGCGAAGGACTCCCTTCGTCGGTCACGGTCACGTACGACAACGTAAGAAGAAAAAAAAATTGAAGGAAGAACGGGAGGGAAGGTTATTAGCGATCGATCCGAGCTTCGATTCCCGGATAACAAATTGTTGCTGAACCAGTTTCACGAATTCGAAGAACCGTCGCAAAGTTGCGAGAAAAAGATGAAGAACCGTGGAAGACGATGCGAGAGGAAGACCTACAGTGTCGTGCACTTCGAAGGTCTCTCACCAGACCGTCTGCTCGTGCATTCCTCTTATTCCTCGGAATTATTATCAAGGTCGATGCGTGGTATCGTTCTCCAGCTTGAACCACTGCCAAATGGGGGGGTTCGTAATTAGTCTTGGGCTTGTAATGGCTTTTTGATTCATTTTGAATACGTGTGCGGGATCTC